TTGATCATTTTCTAACAGATTCTCTTCTTCATATATTTATTATTAATGTTGATAGTAATTATCGTGGTTATGGTCTTGCTTCAACTCTTATATCAGCTAGTACTGAACATGCAAAAAAATTAAATATTGGTGGAGCTTATGCTGAAGCAACAAATATTTATTCATTAAATTCTTTTAAACAAATAGGTTTTCAAACTTATCATCAACTTAATTATGTTGAATACGATCAAGTTCGTTTAGCTAATCTTACTGATAAAAATTACGATCAATGTCAACTTGTTGCCCGAACACTTTAAACAAAGATCATAGATTTAAACATTTATTTATGTAAAAGTCAAAAACAAAATCATACCAATAAAATAAAATTTTCGTTGTAAATTTCTTAATGCTATGTGAAAGAAAAGAAAAGAGAATCAGAATATGATATTTATGTATATTGTTGAAAACTATATAGTATACAAATGTTATTTTTGTCGAAATCATATGTCGTTCATAAAAGGAAAAACTACAATTTCTTACTTTTGAAATGTGCAGAACTTCAGAACTATCAAGTAGCAGCGAGAAATGGGGAAGGAATATTCTTTTATAATGAACATGTTATTAACAAGAAAGGCAATTAATCGATAATGACTGTGAAAATTAAAGACACATAAATTAATAATTCCATCCCAATGTTTTCAAGACTAATACTAGGGAAAGATAGTTACCAGTTGTCGGGAAACGGAAAATACCTGAATTTGATTCTTTCGTCCAGAAAAGTTTATCTTAAGACAATTGTAATTATTTATAAAGTTTTATCAAAGATTTTTGGAATTGAGGATTCCGATTCTATTGTCGCTACTTCATTTCTCGGTTGTCCAGAGACCTTTGATCAAACTTTATAAAAAAAAATTACTAGTTTTTCAAAATAAGCTTTCTGTGACGAAAAAATCAAATTCAGGATCTTTCCATTATCCAATAAGTGGTAAAGTAACTATCTGGTAACGGTGACTTTCTATTCCTAACCAATACTAAGAATTGGAATTGGTATATTCCTTGTTGGAATCTATTAAAGCTATGCTGCTAATTAATTGATTTATTGGTGCCGTTGTATAGGTCTACGAGAAATTAAACTTATTTCGATTTACTTTTCTATGCTCACATCTCTTTTGCAATTTTAATAATAGGAAATGTAAACCTAACAGTGTATGGGTGTAGAAAGTGAATGAGGGAGAAGTCTCTATTCTACCCATACCTAATCCTAAAGGAACTAAAGGTAGTAACAGCAGCAGTGTTCAGATTGTCAAAAAATGTAAGAAGTTTTGGAAATTTCAAGCATTTATGTTCCAATTTGTTCAGTACTTCGCAAAATGATGCAATTTCTAATTATTCTAAAAACTTTTGATTTGGACTGCTAAGTGATTGTCGAACTGATGGAAATTTTTGGAAAGGAGGTAATATTTATGAAAGTCATACTAGCTTGAAAAGTCGTAAAATAAAACTAGATAATTTAATTTCTCGTGAACCTTCGTCCTGTTCGAGTCAATTCTCGTTGAAATTAGATTATCATGAATAATTTAGAAGTATCAATAATATCATTTCTTGTTTGAGTGTCATAGTCAAATATAAATATTGAATAAAATTGTTTCCTATTATGGTATGTAAATCATATATATGGTTTGTTGTGTATTCAAATTGTTAACATTATCTGAAATTTGTAATGACAATACCACTATAGTCATTTTATATTTATTTCGTACCAACTATACAATAAACTCTTATTAGACAGATCATATATAGTCAAATTTAATACCGAAAATTTCTTACTCATTGACTATATTAATAGAAATAATATAAATCATTAAATCGAAACGCTGTTATGTCGTCTCTCACTTTGAATTCTTCGATGATTGTTTATACGATTAGTTTTCTAGAGAATATGCTTTCTAAAAGAAAAAGGATACACTTGTTTATAATGATTAGTTCCTTTGTTTTATGAAACTAAGCAGTAGATAAGTCTTATTAAACATCTGATAGTGATATGAAGCGAGTAATCGATGGCATTTTCTTTGTTTTTTTTTGTTCTTCTTATTTTTAAAACTATTATACTATTCTTCTTTCTTTATCTTACCTTTATTATATTTTTTGTAAATGCTTGTATCTTATGAAACCTTTTGACTTAGGAATGTAACTTGATAATTTTCTCTTTTGTGCTTTAGTCTTCCTTTCTCCTATTTCATCATTTATTGTTACTTATTATTCTTCTTCCTCTTCCTACGGGTTGCCTTATATCTATTGTGCATTATACTATAACAATACAGATTCACCATATAAATGTTGAAACATTCGTTCAACACAAAACTCTCTTCGTACATATCAATTGATGAACACTTAGCGTAAAATATTACTTTTTTGTAGTTTTTCTTGCAGATATCTTTTTGCTTCCTCATTTTTCTCTTTAATTTTAAATATTTTCTCTGTATTAACATCTATGCCATAATATCACTATAGTGAATGACAGAAATTACTTTATAAGAAATTCCATCATCATAACTGAAAGTTTCATTTACGTGAGAAATCATATTTATACATACACAACAATTCTCTTCTTTTTCTCTATAGCCGGAAAATTCTTCTTTCACGACTGAATAGTCTCTGTTTATTATTACTTTTACAATTTGTTGCATATTCTATTCGATATGCTTTTGAACAAACCTGATCTCTGTTGATGAAAAAAAAAAGTTTTCAAGTGTCATATGCCAATTGAACTGATATTTCGCTCATCAATAGGATTGGATAAAACTAGTAAAAGCCTAAAACAGATTCATAGCAGAGACCCGAAAAGGCCATCGAATCTGTCTGGAAAAGGCACTGACTTTTTAAGCCTGTCACGGGTTAGACCAAGATCTCAGATAGGGCAGGCAAGCCATCTGTCTGTCATGTTTTCCAGAAATTTTCACTAAAAAATTTCTTTTTTTCATGAGAACACCTCGGTATCAAAATAAATACTAGAGAACTTCTGCCGCGAAAAGCTGGAAAATGACTTAGTTTATCATTTTATCTTTTGATAACTTACTATTCGCACTTTCTAATCCGCTATTATTATTATTATTATTTTAATATGAATTCTTTACTAGTTCTTATTGTTTCTGATTCACACTTATGTCGTTATCACAAAACAAAACTTGACAGATCCTCTTCAAATTATTTACTAAATACGCTGAAAACATTCTTACTCAAAAACACCGATTTTTTTGTATTTATGTCAATGTTTTCATTTTTATCTTTTCTCGACAGTTACTTAACATGTCAAATATATAAACGTTCTTCATAGTGATTTCGTTTGAATATATCTGAATTCTTCGCCTTCTTGTAAAAGTAGTCTTCTACTTCCATTCAATTATCATCATATTATCAGTAAGTAATACAAAAGTATACAGGTTACAACAGGCAGGCCACACCGATGCAAATGAATGACAGATACAGGCAGACGGAAGACATTCATAGCCTGTTATGGGAAAACTAGATCTACTGAGAGCTCTGATCCATAGTCATGACTTATTTATATGGAGTTATGATCATTTTATCAGTTTTCGTTATCTGAGTATGATATTTATAAAAGATTGCTTAACGAAATGTTGAGCCAAAGTTTTGCATATAGACAGATCTGAAACTGTCGGTGCAAATAAACATTTCTTTTCTCGAGATATTGAATGATCAAGACAAGTCAATACTGATCATATACTTATGACATTGGGTCATTATCAGGACACTCAATATCTCGAGAAAAAAGTGCTCATTTTTGCTAAAATTTTCAGGACATTCCAATGATCTTAAACTCTATCTACGGAAAAAATTTCAGGTCAATAATTCATTAGGCGATCTCTCATTAATATCATACTCAGTGGATAAAAACTCAAAAAAATAATAACTTCAGATGGATAGGTTACGATAACGAGTCCGTTTAGATTTCTACTAGTTTCATTGAATCTTATTGATAAGCAAAATAACAGCTAAATCATCATGGTACATATGGAAACCTTCCATTATTAGTTACATGGATTATTATTCTAGCTTGACTGTATACATCGTAGTGAAGATATTCATTAAGCGAGGATTCACACTAAAAAATGTCACGAGAACTCGCAGGTTTTCAGTATTCGCCCTAAGATTTGAGTAACAATAATTGACTACTCATTGTATGATATTGAATGTGTCGCGAATACTTCTATATAGTTTTTGTATAATTTAGTAGTTAGATCTTCCATTCTGTTTAGATATAAAATTGAATAACAAAAAAATACAAACGTACATAATGAAGATTTGAGAAAATAATGGATATGAAAATATACAATGGGCAAGGAGTTATACAGCTGTATGATCACTAATTTCCTATAATAAGTGATAATTTCTATTCAACAATTTCAGATCTGTTGTAGATTCTTTAATAATAAATTTTATATTCTTTTAAAAATAAATAAAATCTTATTTTTATGACATTAAAATAAAGAAATATCTTACTTTCTTCATTAGCAAGCAAGACTTCTTGAGCTCTATTTCATAAAGTAAGAGTACACTAAAATATTAGAAAAAAACAAAACAAAAAATAAATTATTCATCTGTAGTATTATTCAGATATCTCCTTGATTTTAGTTTGCAATCGACTTGTAACAAAATTTGTTTAGTTTCATTGCATGTTACAATTTACCTATCAAAATTTAGAAAATTAAATTTCAACACATACATACACCGAGCCCATATGAGCATTACACAATGAGTACTCACATAATTGCCTATGAGTAAATCTGTAAAAAAAAACTCGTCACACTACACAAACAATATTCATAGACATAAAATTGCTCGAGCATTCGAACAAGTAATTTGAGTACTCATGCTGGCAAGTCATACTCATTTGATGAGTTTTTTCTCTACAATGTATATTTATTTCGTCCTTGAGCGTAAAGGTTATATGTTGCTATACAAGAATGTTTTCATTTTCAGAGGAAACGATTGTCAAAAAAATGAAATTCGATGATTTTTTACATACAATCAATGATTTTGGTCGATATCAAAAATTACGATATATTTTTATATGTTTAACATATATGTTACCACCAAGTGAGCGTCTTTGAACTTTGTGTTTGTTATTTTTTAAAATGATTTGAATTTTTTAATTCAGTTATGGTTTACACATGGTCATTTACAGCTGCTAAACCATCATTTCGATGTAAACTATTCGATAATGACACTATTTTTAATAGTGATATTCCAAGTTTAATCAATCAGAGTCAACCAGATGAAACATATTGCAAAACAAATATGAAAATATCCGTTGGAGAATGTCAACGATGCTATAGAAAAGTTGTATCAGAAACAGGAATAACACATATTGAACCTTGTAAAGAATTTGTTTTTGATCGAAAATATTATCAATATACATTGGTAGAAGAAGTTTGTATTCATTTTCATGAAAAATTCAAAGAAGTAATTTTTAAATTACTTTGTTCTATTAGTGGTTGATGGTATGTGATCGAACTATATTTCGTTCAATTGTACAAAATATTTTTTTTTTTGGTTACATGGTTGGATCAATTTTTTTTGGAATTTTTGCTGATAAGTAAGTGTTTCGATTTTTTCAAACGAATTTATTTTCAAAAATTCATAATGGTTTTAATAAATTTGATTACACAAAATAGAATATCAAAACTTTTTTATGTTTTACAATATAGTCAGTTAAAGTTCAAACTGCGATACCTTGATCTTTAAATATTTTAATGACATATATCAATAATGCTGTATGCGGTTGCTTTTACATTTACTTGATTAATTTAAAATATGTACATACGGAACAAGACATGTCTACTAACAACTAATAGACAAAATAGATGATAAGATTCAATATTCATGTACTGAAATTAACAGTATGAAATACGAAACATCTTATAATAAGATGTGTCTTGATTTCTAATTGAACACTTGTGAATGATCCATTAATGAAAAATAAAAACAAAGACATTCTATTTGATTTTCATCGAATAGAAATTTGTATTTTATATGAAGGAAACTATTGACTAGTTAGAAGATATATGATAATCGAGACAATATGCTTCTATTGCAACTATAGAATAAAATCAGTGTTTTATCTAGCATGAGGACTGTGAAAGTGATATCCCCTTCGAAGATCGTGTTGGCCCTTTCTGAATTTGTAATTATTGTACCATCTACTGTGTCTGCACTCCCAAAAATAGATATTATTCGTCCTCCGGAAGATGAAATCTGGATAAAGCATTGAATAAAATAGACACAAAGATCACAATTAATTGATTTAGTTTATCAATAGATTTTATTTTTGACAAATGTTATCTTGATTTATCATTTTGTTCTCTTAAGATATGGTCGTCGTCCAATTATGAGTGCTTGTATATTGTTAATGGTCGTTACAGGATTTATTTGTGCTTTCTTTCCACAAAAAAAAGCATTTGGATTCTGGCCAAGTTATATAGTATATACAATAAGTCGTTTCATTTTGGCTTGTTCAACTAGAGGCATTTCTGTCACTGGGTTTGTACTAAGTAATTATATTTCTTGTTTTTCTTTCTATCTTAAAAATAAAATTGAAATATTTTGAATATTTAAGAAGTATTTTTGTTTTTGAAGATATAAGTATAAATAAATTTTATTTTTTTATTTTTTTTTATTATTTAGTAACTGAATTAGTTGGTCCGAAAAATAAATTTCTAACAGCAATAAGTGTTAAATATTTTTTTGCTATTGGTCAATTATTTTTGGTTGCTTTTGCTTATTTCATTCGTGAATGGCGACGTTTATCTTGGACTTTATCTATATTTACTATACCATTTGTATTCTTTCATTTGTAAGTTCATATTGTCTTTTTTTATTTAGAAAATTTTACTAATCTATTCATTTGAATTTTTTAGTGTTTTACCAGAATCAGCTAGATGGATGATGAGTAAGAGACATTATACCAAAGCTGAGAAATTACTTCGACATATTGCAAAGACAAATAAACGACCATTCGATGAAGAAGCATTTAACCGGATGAAAAATGAACAAGAAAAAGTATATACAACAAATTGAATATTCATAAAATACACTTTGACGATTATTAATCGAAAAAAATAAATAAGGTGTCTGTTAGTATTCAAAATTCTTTCAACGTGACTATAGAACGAGAATAAGTTTCAAGTCGAAGTTTTGCAACTCCATCCCTTCTCTATCATAGATCTTAGCCACAGAGGACAACATGTATCAGTCTCTTTTCCCAGAGTTTCTTAACGATGGGTAAAGGTACTGAGAGGTGTTGATGACAAAACTTAGACTCTTCTAGAGATTCTGAATGTTCTCAATAATACACTTTTTTATTTTTACACAGACAAAAATTTAAATTTAAAATACCAACAATAATGGGTGGTTATGCATTATTTTTCCATAGTCATCATATGGCTAACATAAAAAAACGTGAATCGATCAAGTTATAACTTTGAGAAATAATGAGTATTAGTGTTTTTGCGTTTGTCGAGCTATATAATAGTGCATTGAGACCTATTGTAGATATACATAATGGATAACTACAAGAGACTTATTTGTCAGTTAAATCAATGGTTAAAATAATAATAATATTAAATTAAGGAAAATAGAGTACGAAAAAGAAAAAGCAACCAGGCAAACAAAACAATAGAGCAATAGTAAAACATAGGAAAAAACTTGTTCGAAATGCAAAAATAAATAAGACGGATCTTTTCTCTGGCGATCGATTATCTTGGAAAAACAACTATAATCTGCAAGAGATTTTTCATTTAACGTATTTTGTATTAGTATAATCAGACTGAAGAATATATGTGAGCTTCACATAGCAGTACTAAAGAGATGTTAACTGAAGCATTGTATCTTTTTTTTTTTATTAGAGCACACTTTGTCAATCACAACAGATTGGTGTTCTTGCTTTATTTCAAACAAAAATTATGTTTATTATATCGATTAATTTATTTTTTCAATGGTAAATTTTATAAATATTATTTTACACTGAAATTAATCTATTTTTTTTAAAGGTTTGTTCAAAATTTAGTATTCTATGGAATTTCACAAAGTACTGGTTCTTGGGGTTTTAATCCTTATTGTAAGTAAATGATATATATATTTCAACTTTCATATTTATAATGTATTTATATTTTATTGAATATTTAGTATCATTTACAATTTCGGCTCTTGTTGAAATATTGTCTTGTATAGCAATACATCCTTTACTCAATCGCGTAGGACGAAAATTACCTTATTTTATTGCTGCTCTTTGTTTTTCTATTATCGCATTATTAATAATACCCATGCAAAATTTAATACTGAAGAATAAACGAAGTAATTTTTTTTTATTAATTCTAGTATGCATGGGAATGTGATCGTTTTTTTTTCGTTCTAGGAGACAGAGTACTTACATTTATATGGAATGTATTATTAAAGTTTTTTGCATCTGGCAGTTATAATATTATTTATATTTATGCAAATGAATTATTTCCTACACGAATAAGAAATACTGGAATGGGTATTTGTTCAATGGTTGCACGTAAATAATTCTTTATCGTTAATAAGATATGTAAAATTCATTATTTCTATTTTGACTATTAGGAATTGGAGCTATAGTCGGAACAACAAGTAATGATATGTTGGTAAGAAACATATTTCTTTTTATTGTCTCATGAAAATTGGAAATGAATATTTTCCATATTCCATTTATGAGGAATGCATATGATAGAGTAGAACAACCATGAATGCATCATTGAACAGACGAAGAATAAGAAAATTTTTTTTCATTACTTCATTATGTTTTATTTAAAGATGAAATATCTGTATAGTTTTCCTGATTTCAGACTCGTGTATGGATCAATCTTCCTACTATTTTATATGGAATTTTATCGCTCTTAGCAGCTTTATCTGTTCTAATCTTACCAGAAACATTGAATAAGACATTACCACAAACAATTGAAGATACCGAACAAATGGGTTTAGTTTGGTATGTATGTTTGTTTAATAAACAATGTTAACTTGTAGATGAAATTTTCAGTGATCTAAATTTTGCACAGCTCTAATATAGAATTCTAGATACATTGATTTTTTGTGTAGGATGATTATATAGAAAAATGATAGTTTCCAACTAGTTATCTTCCATACTCGAATACAAAGAATTTTAGATTACTCATAACTGAGAACATTGTTTGGATTTCAATAACTGACTGTATTATAACTCATAGTCAAATTTCATACGAATCAAAATTCAAACAGTTATGTGTACCATTAATCATTAAGAAATATCTGAGTTAATAAAAATTCATTGAATTAAAAGATTGAAAAAAAATATGCAATTCGTCTTTTACATAATTTTTTTTCCACGAATAGCTGATTATTTTGTTATTTGCATACTTTTAGTATCCGTATTCGTGGTGTTCAAAGAACCTTAGACATGGAAGAAGAACAATCTAATAAAAAAGAATATCCGAATTCAAATGATATTCATGCATTGAAATCAACATGTGGAAGAAATCGATCTAGAAATGGATATGAAAATGAAAAAAGAAATAATCATTTAATTGATGAACACTAATTCACATGGACTAAAATATGATACATATACATATCGATAAAACGTATTTTTCACTTTTAAATGAAATTATTGCCATTTGATTAATTAATGTAACGATATTCAAATGTTAATTTTGAAATATTTATATGTTTATAGTTTAGTTCTTTGCGTAAGCACAGCACAAAAAAAAATTCGTTGAGTATCACGTTTAATGAGTCTATTTAATAGTTGTTTTTTTCTCTACAATATTGTTCGTAGAACATTAGGAACTATATTAAATGTATTGAAATTAATTTAATCATTATAAGTTGTTTATGTATACTTTATCGTTTGCAGAAACAAAGTGCATAGAGATAAATATGTTCTAATGTTAAAATATTAGATGAAAAACAATATTTCGTGTTGCTATCTTTCCATTATAGATTATATATACAAATGAAATCTTTTCCAACAATTTTTCTTACACTCTGTTCAATATCCTTAATGTCTCTGACAACTCTATTTATTTCAGCATACATACAGCAATGTATAGACATAGAGATCATCCATTTCTGCAAATTGTTCCAATTGTTTTTACCACACTGCACTCACTTGTTAAGAATAAATTGTATTGAACAAAAAAATCATGAGGAAAGTATTTGACATACAAACGAGAGAAGATTTTCAATGAATCAATTATTTTTGAATTCAGACTCTGTGCATAAGATAGATCTTACTGAGATATAAAGAATCTCAAATGAACAAGTCTTCATTAAATCTTTCATTCAAAGTTACAAACATTTTGTCAGAATTTTAGCTTCTGTCTCAGTATATACTAACAAATTGAATGATGATATTTAAACCTAAAATTTTACCCATAGACAGATCTATCTGTCAGTAGAGTGCTCTGAAAATTTCAGCTCAAAAGAATAACTCCCTCTCGAGATACTCATGCCCTAAAAATCACTCATACTCCACGAAAGATGGTGGAATTTTCTGTTTTTTGGAACTCTAAAATCTTGGAAACGAAATATTCTATTCTATTGACAGATAGATCTATCTATGGGCAACATCTTAGACCGGTATGCCGTCATTTGATTTGTTAGTATATACCAAGGCAGAAACTAAAATTCCAGTAGAGTATCTATAATTATGAATAAAAGATCTAAGAGGACTTATCTTTTTGATGTTTTTTTATATCTCACTAAAGTCTATCTTATGCACAAAGTCTGAATTCATAAGCAGTGGATCAATTGAAAATATTCCCTCGGAAGTTCTTATAAACACTGTTCGGGACTAGATGGCATTCGAGTTCCACTCGATTGCGAAACTTAGTGGATAAAATCAGCTTATCAAATAGATTGGTAACTAACTTTTTATTCTGTCTTCATTACAACTATTTTTGAAACTTGAATAACAACGAAGTCCACAAAAAGAGAAGGTCGTTATGAAGCAAAAGTCTTTAACTAAAAAAAGCAGACCTTTTAATACATTTTGTACTGTGTACAAAGTGACTAAGCTAACCGAGAGTTATCCATGTTTTATGTCCTCAGAAGCATACTCCATTTATTTGTTTATGCGACGGATTGCATATCAATCGGTAAACCTGGACAAGACCTGCCAAATGATGCTAAGAAATCAACAAAGAAAAAGTAAGAAGGTATATCTCTTTTTCTAAATATTCAAGACAGCTCTATGTTGAATATCGTTATGTGTATATTTAAATGATAGTATAGGAATTTTTTTGGACTAAAATGCATAGATTCACTCTGTATTATATACCAATTGATAGTTCTCATCAAGACCTACCAAATGGTGATGAAGAATTTATATATAAAACTTGAAGGTGCATCTATTTTTTTTTCGAAATATTGAAAGTTAGGGTGAAGAGAATATCCACACTTGCCCAAACCAGAAAAGTAAGTTTTGTCTTTATACTTCAGGATGTATGTAGAAGACTTTCTTTGTCCAAATAGAAATCCATTTTTTTTCGTTTTCAATTTTTTTTTCAACAATATAATCACAAACAGTATGCATTGACACTAATAAAAAATACGTTGCATGTGTCATATTTTGCGACATAATATGAGATGCATAAAAGTGTGAGACGAAGTGCCTGTTGTGACATATTCTAAAAACGTGGTTCGAATATATCCTTCGGTACATCCGTTGTCTTTTTTCCGGAAAGTCGAGTAATTACTACTTTTCGAGTTTAACTTGAATTATCGCTATCTATTCTTGAAGTGCAAGACAGTAAGATCCTAAGATGTGACCACCTTGAGTCGATTTGATCCCGATCAGATCACTTCGAGGTGGTCCAATCTCGGTCATTGATCGATCTCTCAATATGTTCCCGACGAAATGTTAATCGAAAAATAATCTAGAAAAAAAGATGTACGAAAATGCATAAGTTCAATATGTTTCATCGCCTTGGTTATATGTCGCTGTGTGCACAAAACAAAACAAAACGGTGAAAGAATGATTAGCCGATAGATCAAGGCAAATCTAGAATAACGTAAGTAAAGTTAGCACCGGATTCGACTATTTCTTGTGCAGATTCGTCTTCTTAATTGTGTTGACTCTCTAGACGGTTGTGTTAGGTGTAGAATTTTATTCTCTATCGAATGGTACTAGTTTCGAAGGGGTCATCCAGCAAAAAATGCATCTTTAGCTCAAAATACCGTTTTTCCTGTGTATCGAAAACACTGATTCTGTATTTCTTGTCCGAATTCACTTTAGTAACTGTGTTAACTCTCTAATCAAGTGTGTTAGACACAGAATTTTATTCTCTATCGGATGATACCATTTTCAGAGGGATCTCCGTGCAAAAAGTGAGGGTTATACCCGAAATACTGGGTCCGTGACACCATTTGAGAGTAATTCTTGTCCACTCGCTTTAATAACTGGGTTAACTTTCTAACCAAGTATGTTAGATACAGAATTTTATTCTCTATCGAATAGGACCATTCTTAGAGGGCGTTATCGGGCAAAAAAAGAGGGTGACATCCCGAATACGAGGCCCAAGACCTGATTTTGTGAGAAATTTTTGCTTGGTGATCGTCTGTGAAAACGGTACCATTCGATGGGGAATAGAATTCTGCGCCTAACACACTTGATTAGAAAGTTAACACAGTTACGAGGGCGAATCTGGACAAGAATTACTTTCAAAATGGGGTTGCGAACCCAGAAGTTGCGGTATGACCCTCGCTTTTTTGCCCGATAACGCCCTCTAAGAATGGCACCATTCGATAGAGAATAAAATTCTGCATCTAACACACTTGGTTAGAAAGTTAACACAGTTATTAAAGCGAATCCGGACGATAATTACTTTCAAAATGAGGTCGCGGACCCAGTATTTGGGGTATAATCTTCACTTTTTGCCCGATGACCCCCTCTTGAAATGGTACCATTCGATAGAGAATAAAATTCTGTGTCTAACACACTTGATTAGAGAGTCAACACAATTAAGAAGGCGAATCCGGACAATAAACAGTCGAATCCGGTGCTAACTTTACTTACGTGAAAAATTTGTATGTCATCAATGAAGTGATTATAGAATAAAGATAAATAAAAACGTAACAATCAAATACTATTTAATTGAAATTTAAAAGAAAATGGTCTTATAAACATATTTAGAGCGTATCAATTGAATAAAAACTTTGATAAATACTTATGTGAAATTAGTTTTTTTTATTTTTATTATGGGTTCCAGATAAAATGTATATGTTACATAGAAACATGATTCTTCTATTGATTATCTCATCCAAATAAAAGAAACCAAAATACGAATTTCACTCGACTTTATTTGACATTTGCAACTATTTATGAATCCTGTCCAGTGGCGCCCTCATGTTTTCATCAAATATTTAAATAAAAATATATATAAAATAGAGTAATAATCGAATTTAAAAAAATCAATAAAATGTTCAACCATTTTAATTTAAAAACATTGTTTTCTTATTTTTTGAACAATTTGTTCAAGAAATAAAATATCTAAATTGTAATTGGTCATTACATTTTTTTCCCAAAAACGAACGAATCTTCGTATAAATTAAACATCTATTTTATTCGTTTTTGTATCAATCAAAAATATTTTAATAAATAAATTATCATCAAATAATAATGATATTGAAACAATATCAGCGTTAAACATCTATAAAACAAAATTCAGCTGTAAAACAAAGTGAAAACCATGTTCATATTGTTCCTAGTTAAACAAATTCTTCAATAAGTTTCATTAATAAATCAACACGGAATATAGATAAATATAACGTTATTCAATATATTCATCTTACAATATAGGAGCAATAATAAAAAGAAATATAAAAATTAAATAAGAGTAAAACTCATATTATTTTGTATGTCATATTTCATGAAAAATAATGTTTTTGTTTCATTTTAAATAAAAATATTTTTAAGTTTTCTTTTTTTTGCAAAGGAAGCAATTGTTAACGATGAATTTTAAAAGTTTATGCTTGAATATATCTAACAAAAATATAATTTATGAAATTTTAAAAGTAAATATCAAAACTACCTCATAGAATTTATAATTTCATGTTATCAATATAGGTAGATCAGAAAAATTCAAATATATGAAATTTTCCTTTTCAAATTCGCGCAGATGAATCAAAATTAACTTCGTCAAATTTCTCTGTCGAAGTTGTAACTTCGATGACGATCATCGTCGAAGTTATAACTTCGTCAAGAATGTTGACGAAGTTATAACTTCGTCGACCGGTGTAACTTCGATACGACATATATATATATATATATATACATGAGCTTCAAACGCTAATAATGATCATTGTTTTCTTGGACGATCGTTGCTATAAGAACAATGCACTCCGTCGAATTTCTTATTAGTGTTAAATCATGTTCATCATAGAGGAAGAAAACAATTCTAACATATTAATGTTTTAAGAAAATGTATATGGGCAAAATCATTTGTTAGCGACGTGACTTCAGAAAATTAAAATATGTGTATCTCGAGATAATGAGCTTTCTTAGATCTGATTTTTATATGTTGTATGGACATTAAGTTACTCTAGATACCCTAAAAAAAATTCAGCGCTATGAAGCTTTGTTCAGAGGAGTTATTGGTAAAAAACTACCGTTAGCGACGTGGCACAAAAAAGGACATCGATCTCTACTTCGCGTATTTTAGTTTTTAAAAACTCCCAATTCATGCACAATTTTTAAAAAACCAAATAGGGCATTCCGTAGACGGCTCCTAATGCTACAAAGTCTATATGCAAAATTTTTTCTGAGCATGTCTAGATTTTTCAAAAAAACCGATTTATTTGTCCTTAGCGACGTGACACAGTACGACTACACAATCGACATGGTGCTCTTGTAACCAACTGAAAAGTTCAAAATTGACTTCAAACGTTACAAATCATTATCCAGACTCCCTAGACGATGATAAGACAAAAGTTTTCGCTTCTTCACTTTTCAGGGTCTCTAGAAAACCGGTTTTTCGGAAGAAATTTTTTGGAGTCCAATCTTGCTGAAAATTTTACCATAGATGCAGCTTGTGCCCTAGACCTTATCCTAAAGTTTTCAGATTTTTTTCTCATATGGCTAGCGAGATATTCGCTAATTACTTTTTAATTAATTAATTAATTTTAATTAATAACCATGTGAAAGACCAAAGATTTTCACATAAGCCTATGCCAAAAAATTTATCCAAAAAAATGCACTCTTATAGAGAATCAACCTCAAATGAAAGGTGCAAATGTCCTATCTGCCTGATTTTGCCGATATATAGTTTTTCTTTTTATATTTTGCATAAAAACATCTTTCACATTACAAAAATATTTGAATGTTCAAATCTAATATAAGATTTTATAAGAATCTACTACTATTTATGAATAAGTTTGTCTTATTTCTACAAACAGTAATGTTACCTGTAACTTGCATAATTGAATAATAAAAAAATGTATCCAAATTTAAATCTTTTATTACTTAATTGACCTTTTTTAATTGTTTGTTTTAGTTTGATACATTCTTGTTTAGTGAGATATATATCCACTCTATGTTGGGACTGTAATAAGCGTTTTTCATTCGTGCTATTTATAATATAAGAAAGGTAAAGAGCTTAAGTTATGTAATTCGTTTTGATTTCAAATAGTTATAAGAGTGTGGTAAGGAAAGGAAGCCTATAAATTGACGTTGTTATAATAACTTTTACTTTCTTCTGTACTTAAATAAGCCAGTGTAAGATCGTCTGTCTAGTAAGTAAAAGAAGAAAATTCGCAACAGATTACATAAATATGGTGGGAAGCGATCTCAATTTTCGACAATGAAGTTTTAATTAACATAAGAACGAAAAACGATTTTCCCTAGAGTCGATCCTGTTCTGTCGAAAGTTTTCATTATTTCTTCTGTTTACAACAGTTGACTGGAGATTAGCTCACCACTTTTAATTATTTTGGGTAAAAGATGGAGGCCAAATCATCAAATAACAATTTCTGGTGAATCATAAAACTGGATGCTCGTCTTTTACGAGATATTCCTTTTTTTCTGATACTCGAATTTCGTGCTTCGCACCGCATTTCGTATTCAAGTGAAGCTCGAATATCATCTAGTCCTATTTTTCGTTTCCTATGCCAATAGGACTAATTATGCTGTTTTGGTAGAAGCAAAAAGTTTTAGAGAAATTGTGCTTGTTTGCCTGTAGTGCGGTGATATAAGAGCAATGTATATATTTTACTAATTCTTTACTTTATTGTTCTCATTTGAATTCATTTGAATTTTATTCAAATAAATAAATAAAAACAATCAATTAAAGAGAACATTTAGAAAATAACACAATCAGCCTCTTCTGTATCATGTAGAAGTATAAAATGTTCATTTCCATTTGACATATTTTGGAGACGTTGATTATCTTCTTTTGTTAAACTACAATTGGATATATCAAATCGTGTTAATGATTGATTATTTTGTAATATATCAATAAAATATGGAACACTTAAACTTGTTATAAATTTACTTCCCTTAAGAGATAATTCTTGAAGAGTTTTATTATGATGAATAAGTGTATTAGCTAAGAAATGAACACCTTCATCACTTATACGATTAGAATCTAAACAAAGTACAGTTAATGTTGTATTTGTTTTAAGGATTTCAGCTAATAATTGAACACCTTCATTTGATATTCTATTTGAACCAAGATGAAGTTTTTGAAGAACTGAATAATTATCAGATAAAAGTTTAACAAATGGATAAAGACCTTTATCATAAAGACGATTTGAATAAAGATTTAATTCAATTAATGTATTATTATTATATAATGAATTAACTAAAATTGTTATACCCTCTGATGTAATATAGTTATTGTCTAATCTAAGAACAGTACATTGTTTTTTAATAATAGCATGTTGAATAATAAATGAAATATCTTGATCATCAAGATTTTCATTTATTAATTCAATTGATGAATATTTTGCATATTGTTCAATTTTATTTTGAATTTTTAATATACGATTAATATATTTTTGCATTGTTTCAATTCTTGATCTTGATTGAATATTTGTATTTGATATATTTAAAAGAAGACTTGCAGATAATATTTCTTGTTCATTTGATATATTAGAATATTGTAAAAGAGAATTATTTGATTGAATTTCTTTTAAATAAATTATATATTGATTATCACTTTGTTTAATAGATGATATAACTTTAAATTCTGATGCAGCCATTAAAAGTATTTGATCTTCATTTGAATAAAATGAATGTTTTCGAATATCTTTTCCTGAATGAGATTCAATAGTAAATATAGTTTGTGTATTTGTTTTATTTAAATATTCATTTGATTGAAAGATATCAAGAGATAATGTACATAATGAAAAAGTCCACCATATAAATGTTTTTTCTATTGGATATCGTTCAGTTAAACCAATTTGAACTTGTCGATAGACAATAACAGATATCGATGGTAGACGAGAAAGTGCTCGAATAAATAATGTTAAATATAAAAGCCAAGGTTTTAATTTTTCTCTATCATTACAACGAAGTATTGCATTAAGAACATAATATAAACATTGTTCCATTGGTTGCCAATCCATTGAATAAAGCATTATTGATGCAGATTCATCTTGTGTTAATCCATCAGATGGATTTTCACATTTTTCCTTAGCAATTGAAACAAATGTTTGAAGATTTGGTAAAATAGATATTAATGGTTCAACTGCTTGTTCTAATGAAATAATTGACTTTTGATCATGAATACAAATAGGCGTAAGAGGTGTTAATGGTTCTTGAAAAATATCATAACTACGTGCTTCTAATCGTTTTACCATATCATCATTTATTGAAACCATTATTGTATAATGTTCTAGAAAAAGAAAGTTTTGTTCAATATTTTTCTCTTCAATATTGTATTTCTTGCTTACTTTATCAAGAAAGAATAAATTGTTTGATAAGTATATTACTTGTCACTTATTCTTGACAAAAAAAAAAGAAAAACTTCTGTTCTTATCATCTATCCTTCAGCAGGAGATATCGTACTCGATGATAGAACATTGAAGCGAAGAAGATGACATATATACATCTTTGTAAAGTATTGTTTCTGCTTCATTATATTCCATAAGTTGAATAGAGCAGGGCCCTTATGGATATCTTTCATCAATATCAATAGATGATTGAAAGATAATCGAACATATTATTTTAGTAGAAAAAAAATAGTTTCAATTGTTATTATTTTTTTGTAAGTTATAGAAAACATTTTTATTAGTTGATCTATCTTTTGCATAGAAAAAAACTATTAAAGAATTTTTATGATTCTATATTAACGCTTCCTAAATTTATTAAAGTTTTTTTTTGTTAATATGACAGGAAGAAAAATGAAAGATCAACTTAGTTCTATCAACTGTTTTTACTTTTGGATAAACTAGCTCTTTTTCGAAACGTATTAGGCTAAATAGAAACAAATACAAAATGGCATTTTAACGAACAATAATTATATATTTTCAGTAATGCTATTTAATCTAAAACTAGTCTATATCAGAATATTTTATTAGGAATTTTTCATAGTAGCGTCCAATACTCTCCAAAAAGCTACATATCAACATATCACTAGTGTAATCAACGATGTCAATATTTGATGTTCCATAAACACTCAGTACTCTCTAACAAGCAGTCCCTATGGTACACGATTCGAAACATACAATTTCACATTGAGGAGAATATTTGTTCCTACATCATCTATTCAGTTATAGATTTGAACTCCTCTAATTGATGCTCTTATATGGTAAACACCCAGAACAATATAACTAGCAATCTTCGGTGAGAAATGATAAGTATCATCACGGAACCGGCTTACCTGTCGTATTTGATTAGCTCTATTGTACAGTGTACTGTAGACTTAAACAATATTACTATTATCGGAATTTGAAAAAAAGGCTATCGGGCAAAATGCTTATAACTTTTGAACGAAGATAGCTAGAGCCCTGCGGTTTTCACCATTCGAAAGGGGATAGAAGGGGACGTCTTTTCCTCCAATATTCTATAGGACGAAATCATTTAGAAATCAGTCATTTCTAAAAAACATCGAAAAATGCATGAAAACTATCTGTTATTCCGATGAAATTTTGGTTCTGACATCTGATCTAGATAGAGGAACTTCAGATGTACAGTTTAAGATATAATTCGAATGATTATCTTTCCATCTCCTAATGTTGAACAAATAAACTTGTTATGAGTGCATGTTTTGTTGAAAATAGTAAGTTTTTATTTGTTATTTTTTTAATATTCATTTAAATAAAAAAAATATTGAGATAATAATTGTTCTCCATCACGAACAAATCAACAAGTTATTAATAAATGTTATTGTTCATTTGATGAGAAATTTCCAACAAAATGCAAGTCTATTTTTTATTAAAGTAAATTAAAAAAACAAAGAGTTTTTTTTTTATTATTTCAAGAGAATTTTTACGTTCTTTAAAATGTTTGGAACGACATGAAATTGAATTAATTCCATCAACATATGGATCAGTATGTTCAAGAAATAAAGCTTATTATTATTATTATTATTATTATGGAGATGTTGCTGTTTGTCTTCAATTAGCCATTAATATTTGCGAATTTAATTTAACATTTTAAACAATCATTATAGTTAATATTCAAGAAATAAAAACAGATTTAAACACCATTTTTATTCTTTTCTTTTATAATTATTAGATTGAATATATCTAATCAAATCGAATGTATCATTTTTATCGATTTATTTTATCTTTTCAACAATAAATCAAGAATTATTTTGCCTTTTATTTAATATATATAATATTTCATAATTTAATATCAGATAAAGAAAAAAAATATTTGAAAGAGTTCATTTAATATGATTTCTATTATGACTTATAATGTAATCATTAAGTTAGGATTTATTTTTTCATAATTAAATATTCATTCTCTAGAAAAAGAAATTTCTTTCTATCTCTAAACATAATTATTAACAATTGATTGTTCAATTATTATTTCATAAGAGAATTTTCTGTTTATTTACTTAAACAAAGAAATTTTAATTCAACGAGATTATTATTAATATAAATTATATTTCACTTAACTACGAGAATTCAATCTAAACTGGTTTTCTGTTTTATTTTGTGTAAAAATGTGTATTAAATACCAGTCAAAGAAAATTGCCAAGAGAAATGTTGCACAAATAGATGATAGGTTACTTTAATTCAAGAATAACAATATCAAAAAACAGTTGAACTAGTATAAAAAAAAAGATTAAAGCTTGAGTATATATTGATGAGTATCATAAAAAAAGCAGAAAAAAATATTAGACTGCTGCTATTTGACTTGCTTGAGTAACCAGTTGAATGAACTCATCCGAGAATTTTAGCATTAATTTAACAGATTTCACGTCATGTTCATTTTCAAATCTAAAAAACCATTTGTGTAATTGAAGATATATCATAAATTTTTACCTGATACGATAAATTACTTTTGTTAAACTTTCTATAATATTCCCAAGACAAGCAATCCTTGCACAGGATTCCGGTCCGGATTTCGTCAGAATCCGATAAAAACTGACAAAATCCGACAGAATCTTATCGGATTTTGCACGTGTCCGATCAGATCCGACAGTCGGAATCCGGCTCATGGGATTCCGACAAAAATCCGACAAGATACGGACGCAATTATTTGAATCCGACGGAATCCGACCGAGCGAGAATCACCTGGGTTAATTTCTTTTATTTTAAAATGTATATGAACATGATTAAGAACTAAAATCATAAATAATGTTTGTTTAGTTTTCAGGTTAATATGAAAATAAAACTTACATTTAATGATTTTTTCCTTTTCAGTTAAATTACCTACAAGTTCCAATATATCACCTTGTTCGTACTAAAAGTAAAAAACATATAAAATCATCTATACAAAAAACAAATTAAAAAAAAAGGAAATAAAACGCTTTTATATTTTTCGACAATCTAAGTCGCTTGCAAACTCAGGTAAAATAGTTTTACTTCAACTTCTAAAAAGTCTAGGCTGATCGTTTTTGGAGAGGTTTTTAGGGAAAATTTTGAGAAGTTCATATTATTTTATATGATCAAGTGACGTCGCAAACAGTTAGAATACCCAATTTAATGATTTATAGTGGAAAAGATAGAGCATGGCATACTATCTGTTGTTACAAATTCGGTTTTTTTTCAAAAACATTAGTGTAAAGATAAATCTGTAACTAAAAATTAAATGAATCATTATCATCATGTAATCTCAAAACAAAATCGATTGTGGATAAAATAAAAATAATAAAGTATAAGACTCCATTGAAAATTTTGACAAGAGATAAGCAACAGTTTATGTACAGAGCATTGTGAAAATTTGACATTCGTCATAATCGTTATAGTATTAAGAGTGATAGAAAAATTTTGAAAAAAAAAACGAAGAAAGATATCTCAAGGACTCTGAAAAACGTTTTCTATATTTCAAGTAAAGGTATAATTTACTTTTCTTAAGGTACAAATTTATAACTACAAAATCTTTTGTTATAAATCTATTTTCAGTCCTATGAGGCACAAAGCCAAATATTCCTTAGTAAGACTAACTAACTACGAATTATTAACATAGCAGAAAATTACCTCTTCTATGGCCATTTGACGTTGTAAAAGAATGAGATGAACGCTCTAAACTCTATTTTGTTATTTTTTATATATGAGCGTGCGATGACCGATTTGAAGACATGTTTCATTGTTTAACCAATATTTTTCATTGGTTAAAAAAACGACTCATGTGCCAAGAACAAATGAATCATCACATCCGTTCTCTTTCATTTGTTTTTATGCAAGAGAAAAATTATTGATCGAATTAAGCATAGATTACAGAAAGGAAACTCATATTGATTTTTTTTCTTTTTTCTTTTCAAAATAAATAACAGAGCTGGTGCGATGGGATTTGCACCTGTACTTTTCGTGCTTTGTCAAGTGAAAAGTAAAAGTACAAATATTGAGGAGATACACTTGTACCTTTTTACCCAGAGAATAATACATTATACTTTTACTTGAAATGCAGAAAAAATGTCTTTTCTACGTACTTGAAATATCTTTCTTCTTTTTTTTCAAAATTTTCACAGTTACACTCGATATCAGAACGACTATGGTGAGTGTCAATTTCTCACAATTCTCTATTGCAGTCAGATATTCCATTCGCTTTTTTCACTGTTTCGCCTAGAAAATCTATCTGATCTGGTCTTTATGTAGAATAAACAGCTAATGCAATCAATTTCATTAACCAAAATTTCATGGAAAGCCCACAACGTGCATAACCAGGCAACAACTTTTATTTTCGAAACTGATTAACTCGAAAAGAAAAATTCTCAACTATTTTGAATCCTTTTTCCAATAATACATTGCCATCTATAGATTATATTTAACTGTTTTTTTAATAAAGATAAACCTATATACAGTAGTCCCAAAAAGTAGCGCTACCAGATGAAAACTCACTTAACCTTAACCGTTTGGGCTGATATTTTTACTGCAGATAGACCTTAGTAAACCCTGATCGCAAGAACCAAAAAGAGCTAATTTGGTCATACTATAACGGACCTACAATGCAAACATGTACTCTTCCTTCAAGAAAGAATTTGTCAGTACAGAAAACAAATATTTTAGTTTGCAACCCATCATTAGAGAGAGCAACATTGCCTCTCTTTTCCATAAAAGTTTCATACTGAACAGCTTTGATTTGCTTAAGCTATGAAATATTCTTTGAAAAACATCCACATATAGTTGTAAGCGGTCTATAAAATATTTATTCAAAATTCCATTTTTTTCCAGTCAGTAAGTTTGAAGTTTTCACCAAAGTGTGCTTTTTATTACAGAAGTTTTTGCTCAAATTTTCACAGCTTTAGGCTGTAATAAACTACAGATTCATTCTACAGTCTTTCTAGATAATGTAGAACCTACTAAATCTCAAATCAACAACAAAATGAAACGATTTTTATTTGGTGAGTATACATTTATAAGAGATGTATGTTGATGCGAAAATATATACAAAAACACTTAAAATTTAGACAAAATAATAGATTCTTTGTTACGTAATGGAAAAAATAAAACTGTTGTTCAATTAAGTTTATTCTTACACAATAAGGAATGAATTAATAAAGTATATATTCGCTTTCGGATTCAATAAGATCATGCACACGATTTTTCATACTCCACACAAGTTTTGATGCTAATTCTGGTGGAAGATCGTTCCATTCCTTGTAGATTGCACGTGTTAAATTTTTAATTGTTTTGGGTTTTTGATTGGAAACTTTTGTTTTAATTAAAGGCCACAAGTTTTCAATTGGATTAGCATCCGGACTATGGGATGGCCATGGAAGTGTTGTTATATGATGTTCTCGTTTCCATTGTATACTGAATCTTGAACGATGTTTTGGATCGTTATCTTCAAGCAGAACCCAATCATGTCGTCGTCCAAAATGAGATCGAGCAGTAGGCAAAAGAGCATTCTGGTATATTTCATTACAAAGAAAATCACTAGTTAAGTTGTGTTGAAAACAAACAATTCGACCAAAACCTGAATTAGACAAACAACCCCATACATTGACTTTCAATGGATACTTCACTGTCCGAACCACTTTACGTTCACCGGGTCTTTGCCAGAAAAACTTCCCAACAGCATGAAGTCGAATTGTTGTTTCATTACTGATGATCAATTTATTCCAATTGTAATTTTGCATTGATTGGGCCCAGATTAGTCGATTACGTCGATGTTGTTGTGTAAGAAGAGGTTTCGAAAGTGGTCTTGAAAACTTGAATCCTGCTTCCAGAAGCCGATTTTGAATTGTACTACGACTAATATTTGTACCTTGACGCCGAAGTTCTTGTTGAATATCTTCACTAGTGATTCCTTCGTCCATATCTTCTTGAACTAATTCCACAATCATCTGATCCTCTTCAGATGTTGTCACACGAGATCTTCCTTTCTTTTGTAGATTGCTAAGATCCTTTGTTTGTGTCCATCGATTAAGCCAACGTTTAACAGTTGTTTTATGGCATTTCATAACTTTCGCAATTTGATTTACGGAAAGCTTCGCACCATACCTGTCTTTTGACAAGAAGACGATCCGATATCGTTCATGAAATTGAAGAGACATTATCAATCGGTTCGTATCAAAATTGTTGAAGATTGTAAAAACTATTTTGATATTGACGATGGTCGAAAAGTGAATATACGTCAATTTTTACAGTTATCCAATTAATAAACACTCTCTCGTACCGTAGATGTCATCCTGTTCAATTTATGATACGTATACTTAAACAGAATCGGCAATTACAGATTTACTGCTACAATACTTTTTCTTGTTTTCTAGGTCAGAATCAATCAGTTGAAGATCTTATAACGAAAAACGTTAGCAGATAATGTCTAACTAACTTTTTTTGACTAGGATTGTTTAGTAGTATTAGGATATATTTCTATTATTTTGTCTAAATTTTAAGTGTTTTTGTATATATTTTCGCATCAACATACATCTCTTATAAATGTATACTCACCAAATAAAAATCGTTTCATTTTGTTGTTGATTTGAGATTTAGTAGGTTCTACATTATCTAGAAAGACTGTAGAATGAATCTGTAGTTTATTACAGCCTAAAGCTGTGAAAATTTGAGCAAAAACTTCTGTAATAAAAAGCACACTTTGGTGAAAACTTCAAACTTACTGACTGGAAAAAAATGGAATTTTGAATAAATATTTTATAGACCGCTTACAACTATATGTGGATGTTTTTCAAAGAATATTTCATAGCTTAAGCAAATCAAAGCTGTTCAGTATGAAACTTTTATGGAAAAGAGAGGCAATGTTGCTCTCTCTAATGATGGGTTGCAAACTAAAATATTTGTTTTCTGTACTGACAAATTCTTTCTTGAAGGAAGAGTACATGTTTGCATTGTAGGTCCGTTATAGTATGACCAAATTAGCTCTTTTTGGTTCTTGCGATCAGGGTTTACTAAGGTCTATCTGCAGTAAAAATATCAGCCCAAACGGTTAAGGTTAAGTGAGTTTTCATCTGGTAGCGCTACTTTTTGGGACTACTGTAGTAGTATTTGGAAATTTGTACGCATCTTTTGGAAAAGGCTCTCTCTCTCTCAAAAAAGTTAAAACATACTTCTTGTCAATATATGGCTCTCTTACACATTTAGAACTAATTGCGAATAATGCTTTATATCAATACGCACTGGTGGCAACTCGCTCATTTCATCTTCGGATATATGAACATGATTAATTTTGATTGTTGTTGCATCACGACAGATTTGAGCATCCAGCAAAAGATCCTCGTTGGTAGGAATAGGATTTGGATTCATTAAATCTTTATTGAGAAAAAATATAGAATCAATATAATCTTATTCATAAACAATGTCACCTTCAATATTAATTGATGGTTTACTTGGTAATAAAGAACCATCGATTCACTGACAAAGTACTATTCCTTTTTGACTAATTAAACCAGCAAATATATCTAATTCGCTATTAATTTTTTTTTTCGAGTATGATTTCGTTTTTATTATTAGATTTAGATAAACGTATTAAACTTGAATTTGTTGAAAGATATATACGAGACATTAGAAAATAACGATTTGATTGTTTATAAGTTACTATGTGATCATTACGTTATCTAAGAATAAAAAGAATAAATTAAAAAGAAAATAAATTTTATTTTCCTTGAGCATAGAACCATAATACATATTTTCATCTAAAGAATTAAATTTAACTAAGACAATGTTTACAAATCTATGTAATCATACTTTCTTCTCCACTTTATTTAAAATAAATGGATTCTGATTTATCTAATATTCTCATTATTGTAATATCGGATCATTGATTGTCTGTATTGTAACGATACATACGTGAAAGAGATGTTATGACAGACTGGAAAAGTAGCTTACCGCCACCCTCGGTAATGATGTTTATTAGCTACTTTACATCTCCAGAATGTGTCTATTGCACATTCAACACAAGCTTATATATGATAGAGAAACAAAGAGAGAAATGACACAGAGAGAACAAGAGAGAGAGGAAGAGGAAAGAGGAAGAGCAATGAGCCGTGACGTATATATCGGTACATCCTCCCACTCAGATGAGACGCGCTCCTGAGCGTCTTTACAATTTTGAAAAAAGAGACGATCAAAACAAATTAATTGGATGAAAGAAAAATTACATCAAAACAAGTTCACCGCTTGAACTGAATCGTAGAAATCAAAGTAATACACAAACAAAAATTTCGACTTCACACATAACTTCATATCAATACACGTTTTCGCAGTATCATAGCATCAAGTCAAGAACATAGCAGTCAAGAAAAGAGAAACAAACTTTTTGAAGAACTAGTCGCGACATTTCAAATGTAAATAGAATATAATTCGTCACGGATACGGCGTACAAATATTAATCTTCATAACTTTAATCATCATACAAGAGAAAATTTTAACAGAGTACCCAGAAATGAAACAGTATAGAAAAGAAATATAGAATTCATAACACACATATTATCAGTCACGCTTTTTCGCACATTTTCAAGTTCATAGGATATAATTTCGAACAGCAGCACATATCAGTTTTACAGAACGAGGGAAAAAAACAAGTAATCAGTTACACAAGTTCAGTACAATTTCAGTCATAAGTAGACAGGTAAATATTCTAATTCATACAGTATAGAAACTCTTGTCTAGTGCATAAACGATACCTAGAACGGTTTCGTTTTATGTCTTACTTTGCAGATTAGTATAAAAACGAACACATAACTTGTATAAAAAAAAATCCCATTGTATTTTGATTATCTACCTAATCGAAGATAACAGATTATCATTTATCCCATCTTTTATGTATCCTTCGTTGAAGAAGAAAAAAAAATTTCACACTTTCTAATCAATATCATCAATTGCATTACTCTCATTTTCAAAATGTCCACTGGCTCCAGGCATTTTGAGGATAATATCTTCTTCATTTTAATTTTGTGCTTCTTCTAATATCTGATTATTACACATCATTAGTCAGCAAGATGTTTAGTAGGATGAACTGTTAGTGGTGATTGACAAGAAGAAGTGAATATTGATGATAAATGAATATCAATCGTTTACGGCCAATTCACAATTCATTTCATGTTCACCGATATCCATCTGTCCTTTTGTCATTTCTTTTTTTTTGGCAGAGAAAATAAGTTTTAATATCAATACCGTCCATATAGAAATACGAAAATTTGCGGTGATAACCGGTTTCCACTATCACTTAAACAACATAAGACTCAATGCATCCAGCAGTACTAATACGCCGGTATCCATTATGGCTTTTTATAACTATATCGGCTTGATTCTTTGCTTTACTCCAGAGTTCTGATCAGTATTTTCCGAAATTAATTAGGACGAGGGATTATTCCTTATCAGGAAATTAAGTGCTCGAGCTTCTAAGATGTATCGTGTAGAAGAGACACTGAAATACAAAAAAGTGACCGATGCATCCCTAGGTCGGATCACTAAAGGTTTACGAGTTCCGAACTTCATATAAGAAAAGCAGCAATTTTAGATGAGATAATCATTTCTTTGTTTTGAATACCTATAGAATATGTATCGATTTACTGAGACGATTATCAATGTCTAAAAAAAACTCACTTTGATTGGCCAAAAACTATCCCTCACCTCGGGTCAGGTTGGGTCGGATCGAGTCGAGTTACGAAAAAGATTTTTGAGCTCGGGTCGGGTCGGATCACAAAAAAAGCGACCCGTATCGGATACTGATTTCGATTTTGAACATAAACACATTCACAATTCCTTACGTGAGATCTAAAAGGAGTCATTGTATATCGTAAAAAAGTGCATCTAATATTTATAGATAATCTCAATCTTATTGGTTGGTATTGTTTATGAGGAAAATCGACAAAAAAGAACACAATTGATATCCAGAAAAGTTGTTTCTCCTTGCTAATGCAAGAGTACTATGATATATAAAGTGGAAAATTTTTTATACATTGTGAGAATACTTATCGACTATTTCACTTCTTGTCTTCAACACCAGAGAGAGTTATCAGTACAACAGATGGTACTCATAAATATACTACACTAGAATTAATATCTTTTTTTTTATGGTTTCACACTTAGCACACCATGCTTTTGTTTGTTCTTCCTTCATGATTCTTCCATGAAAAAAATAATTGTACAAAACAGCATTTCAATGCTAACTTTTTGAGAAAAAAACGCCATTTTTTGTGCTTAAATGCATTGGTTTCTATTTCAAAACGTTTAGACGCATTTTTTATTACTCTCCAATCGACGCTATTTATAGCATTCATATTAGAGTAGAGTACTTATAATACGTTTTTTTTTGGGACAAACATTTGGATTCGTCTTTTGAGTAAAAATACCTTTTTATAAAATAAAAATCTATTAACATATAGACAAACGTTTTGTGACATCCTACCCAAAAATATATCACTTAAATAAGGCTGTTCCCAAGATGAACATATGAGTATAGCACAACAGAATGTATTTGAAGACTGAGAAAGAAAGAAACAATCGTATCATAAATACGATAAGTGCAAATCAATAAAAACAAGTTTATCTTCATTAAAAAATCTCTTGAGAAAGTCTATTGATTCATAATTAGAATATTACATTTATCATATTTTTAATTCATTGAAAGAGATTATTTTTGAATAGAAAACAGTAGCGCATGTTTGTTTATTTAGTCAAGCTTCTATTTTTTTTCATTACTGACTTCTTGACTAGGCTGCCAAGAAATGTTATAGTTGCTTTACTGTCAATAAAAGCTTGAATATTTTTATAACCTATTCATTCAACGATTAATGTATTCTAACATGAGTAGTTTCTCGTTCTTTCTAAATACAATTTATGACTCGTACCGATAACAGTCATCTTTCATTTTTATTGTCCCACTTTTTGTTTCTTCATATGTTTTATTATGTTGTGTTCTTTCAACGAACAAATGAATGTATTGTGAAAATATTCATTTACTTCTCTTTTCTTTTTATGTCTCCTATCTCTAAACGATGAACTTACAGTGTTATAATAAATTTGAGTGGAAAAAGAAGCAGACGTATACAGTATTTCTATCGAATGAAGATTTTTACAGAAATCATTGCTTTTTTTTGCTATTTGAAAATTACGAAGTTTTTTTTACAATCTTCAAAATTATCTATGTGATAGATAGCACTCAGAAATATCAAACCGCATATCTCTAGGTGAGAATCTAACAAATTTAAGCCAAGTAACAAGAGGATATATCTAAGTTTCTGACGCACAGTCATCTTCGAATTATTTAATTTCGTTGACATTTATAATCTGATTGCAATGGTGATTATATGGATTGTTCCAATTTATATTTTAGAAGGTTAGCAAAAGTAATATATTCGTTTTTTTTGTTCTATCCGTTTATTTATATCAATTATTGAAAGATTTATCGTAGTCAATATTGCATAAGATGAAATATAGTTGATACACTCAAGTAGTCTATTACGCTCTAGCAAAAGGTTAAGTATAAATGAATAGAAGGATCATTTGAATGTCGACTGTACTTTGACTTTGGCAACACTGACTAGGCTGTATCTTTCCTGATATTTTTAGAATTTTCGGCAGAGAAGTAACTAAGAAACATGCAATAGAATAGCTTGATTATCGCATCTTATCATTGTTCTTTTGATTCTAATGTGTTCAATACTGATTATCGAGTTATCATGTGATAAAATATCAGTCAAAGAAATATAAGTATGGCACTTGCAAATATTGACATACATAATCTTATATGAAGTAAGAAAAAAGATCTTTTTCTTTTACATGAAATACTATTCCGCTGCTATTGATTCGAAAAAAAAATCAAATAAGTTTACGAGCATATTTTTTTTTGTTGAATGTATATTTTGCTTCGAAATACTTTGTTATTTTTTTAAATTTCAATTTATATAATCAACCTTTTTTGTTCCAACATTATTCAATGTTAGAACAAACTTCAACCAATTCAATAAGTGTGTCGTCTATGTTTATTTACTTTTTTCTTTTCTGTCAATTAAAAAGCCATGCTATTCATTCGTTGATTCTTGCATAGAACAATTTGTATTTGTTTAGTGAGCTTGAAATAATACTTCGTCTATTTTATTTTATATAAATCGTTGCAAATGATTGTATATAAAATATTTTCACATATATTTTTTTTCTTTAGTTATTATAATGCCTCGAACATGTGCCATAGAAAAATGTAAACATAAATCACGTTCAATATGTCCATGTTGTAATAAAAATCTTTGTCATAATCATTTAAAAGAACATGATGATTTAAATAATCCTCAATTAAATCCTTTAATTAATCAATTTAATATATTAGATGAACAACTTAAATCATCAAATACAGACAAATTAATTGGTGATTGTCGTCAAAAACTTATTCAATGGCGTGATAATTGTCATAAAATGATTAATCAATTATATGAACAAAAAATTCATGAACTTGATCAACGTTGTTTACAAAAACTTGATGAACAACGAACACAATTAAATCTAATACGTTCAAAAATGACTGAACTCACACGTCAACAAGAAAATAATCAAAAACATATAGATTCAACAACATTAACTATTCGTCATATTCATGAAGAGATAAAAGCTATTGAAAATACACATTTACAACTCGATATTCGTCCATTAACAATAGATGATAGTTTTATTTTTATTGAAGAATTTGAACCAAATAAATGTAATTTAGTAAATCTTACAACACCTTATCGAACAATTGATTGTTCAGGTGAATGGGGACCTGTGCTTGTTAGTAATAATCGTTATTTATTAATAGATCGACATCCAAATTTATGTTTAATTAATCAAAAATTTGAAATAATAAAACAATGTCCATGGAAATTTGATTTTATTCGTGATATGTGTTGGTCATCAACATTAAATTGTTTTATTGTAATAACAAGAAGTCGTGAAATTTATCTTGTTAATGAAAAAACTTTAGCAACAGAACTTATTCAAACAATTGAAGAACAAGATTGGTCATCTTGTACATGTTCTGATACATCTTTTTATTTAACTGCACGTCGAGAAGGAACAAATATTTATGAATTTAATCTTTTATCTTCATTTACTTTAATAAAACGATGGAAACCTCCACATTCATGTAAACAATATGAAGTTATACTTAATACTGCATATAAAAATAAAACACTTGCTTTAGTTATTTCACATTGTTCAACTAGTATAGTACATTTCGAACTTCGTTCATCAATAACACTCGATCGACTTTGGTCAATTGAACTTAATATTTCACATAGAATTGGTCAACCATTAATACGTTGTTCTTCATTGAAATGTGATGAATGGCTTGTTGTAGATAACAATACTTCACAACTATTTCATATTAGAAAAGATGGACAAATTAAATCTGTATATCCATGTAATCCATCACCTTGGAATGCTGTTATGTTTGGTTCTAATCTATTGGCTATACGAACTAAAAACAGTGTCAATTTTCATAAATTATAAATGAAGAAAATTATTTCTTTTTTTTTTCTGTTTTATCTTATATTCAATATATAATGGGAAAATGTGATTTTGTATTTCTGATAAATAAATATATAATCAATTTTCTTTTTTTTTCATCAAGAAAAGAAGGAAAAGATGATATCAACGAACATTTTTTTCTTTCATTGTATAATGTTTATAAATATTCTGCCAAAATCGAATTTTCATGGTTTTATGTTACTATCGTAGGATTCTTGAATATGAGGAATGCTTACCTACAATATGTCCGACTGTCTCCTAAAATTCTTTATATTTTTCACCAATTTTTTTCGCAATTTCGTGGTAACGTTGAACATGAACCGAGTTTTGAAACACCATTTGTCTTTCTGGCAGAAAATAAAATAAACATAAATAGAAAATGTCGTTGCGAGGTGAATAGAATTGAGACAGGTCGTCTGTTGTGGAAGTGGCTGGATTATAGTAGGTTTCGCTCTTTTCTCCGATCTTCACCTCTAATATTTTGATGATGAAAGCACTTTCTACCGTATTTTTAGCTTCTCCTATCCCTAAAAAGATATCAACAACTTTATACTATCGTCCAATTATTTGTTGTATAGTGAATCTCTTTCCTTAGATAGAAAACGTTTTTTCTTTTTTATTGAGCTCTGTTTAAAAAAGAAAACAGTTTAATGTCAGAACTATGTTCCGGTACATTCAAATTGCATAAAATTTTCAGAATATGCTGAGACTGTAATGGAATGATCAGAGTTCAATGTCTCGAAAACATGACGTTCTTCTTATAAAAGTACTCGCTTAAGTCAGAGAAGGGATTCTGTCATGCCCTGCATTTTGACATGCTCTTTCAAACAAAAAAAAAGAGACACTGATTACAATGAAGCTCTTTCAAGAATTCCGGGATGCACGATCAAAAGAACATGAACAGAGAAAAAGCGAAAAAGATTCTCCATTTTTTCTGAAAGACCGTATTTTTCAAGTAGAAAATGACAGAAAACTATACAAACAAAACTAGGTGCCAAATAAAACATCATGTCATTTATGAAAGATTAGATCTTGGACGATCTTCTGATGCGATTATCCCAATTTGTACGTATTAGACGAAAATTGAATATGTTTAAGAAGAACCTTCAAGTAAAATCTAAACAAAACATGCAGATTTTTCTATTTGAATAATTTAAAAATTTTTTATCTTAATTCTCAATACTAATATAAGTTATTGAATTTCATCATTTTTTTCATATCTTTTGTTAAGTTGATCAAAATTTCGATTGAGTTATAATTGATAAAAGTTTAACAACATTAACACATATGCTTAAAGAAAATCTTTATTAGATTTCAACTGATTAAAATTTAATCTTCAAATTTTATCACGTTAATTTATACTCAAATTTGTGTTTAAAGTATTATATTCTCTATAGATTTTCTCTGATATATACCGCTTTGTCATTTTGGTTGTCACATATCTAAATATTTGCTTTTTTTTTTGTCTAACTTTATATATTAACATAGGAAAAAAATTCTCGTTACATATTTCACCCGAGTTTTATCTCTCATTTTAAAAAAACAAGATTCTATTTGTGCTTTCCTTCTGGTCTTAAAAATAAAATGTGTAACTATATAAAACTAAAAATGGCTTTTGTTTTTTTTTTTTAAATTTTTATATACTTCTCATTATAGATTATTATTAATTTCTGTTTGTTTCATTAATACAATGTCTCAATTATGTGCTAATGCGACATGCAAACAAATATCACATGTTTTATGTTATTGTTGCAATAAAAATTTTTGTCTAGATCATTTATTAACTCATAATACTTTAAATAATTATAAATCAAATTCTTTAATTGATCAAATTAATAGATTACATAAACAACTCAAAAGATTAAATATCGATAAAATAGTTGATGAAAGTCGTTTAAAATTAGATAAATGGCGAGATAATAGTCTTAAAAAAGTTCATCATTTTTATGATACAAAATGTGAAGAACTTGATCGATATTATACTGGAAAAGTTCGTCAACAACAAAAAGAAATTGAACAATTATATAAAAAATTAAATGAACTTAATCAAAAACAAGATACGATTGATGAAAATAATATTAATGAATTACAAACAAATATTCTTCATCTAAAACATAAAATAGATAAAATCGAACAAAAAATTATTCCAATCAATATTCGTGCTTTAACCATTGATAACAATTTAATTATTATTGGAGAAATGAAAATAAAAGGATTTGATTTAACAGCACTTTCATTACCTTATCAAACATTTAATATTTCTGAAAATTTTGAATTAGGATTAGCCAGTAATAATCAATATTTATTAATCGATCAAAATTCTGATTTAATTTTATTTGATAAAGATTTAACAATTATTCAACAATCTACATGGGACTATGGTGTTATTCATGATTTCTGTTGGTCATCAGGATTAGTTAGTTTTATTGTAATTACAGAGCAGAGTAAAGCATTTTTAGTTAGTGGAAATAATTTATCAATTAATTCTATTGAAGGAATAGATAATCATTTATGGATATCATGTACATGTTCGAATTCATTCTTATATCTAACAACACTTAGTAATAGTATTGCTGAATTCTCTCTTTTGCCATCATTTTCTTGTATGAGACGATGGGATCCTCCAACGACTTGTAAAGAAAATGAATTTATTAAAGATATTAATTGTAATGATGACAAAATTGCTTTAATAATCGTACATTTTTCGGATAAAATAATACATTTAATAGTTCGATCTTTAACAACATTTGATCAATTATTTTCGATTCGTCTAGATATAAAACATCTATCATATCAATTACCAATTCGTTGTTGTCCTCTTAAAAATAATGAATGGCTTGTTATCGAAGCAAATACATCACAATTTTTTCATATTGGTAAAGATGGAAAATTGAAAGGAACACTTACGTATGATCAACCACCTTACAATGCTCTTTTATTCGAGTCAAATACACTCGTGATACGGACTGATAGTACAATTAATTTTCATGAAGTTTTACATTGAGTCATGCAAAAAAAAAGGAAGAAACAATTATGAGAGCAAAAGTAAATTTTTTTAAGGATATGCTTATGAACAGTTAAAAATGCAAGTCTATACACAACATGACAAATTTCTTTTTTTCATTCATAATAAAATAAAAACTTTTGATTTCATATTTAATTATGAAGAAAAATTATTTATCATAGAAATAAAGTGAAGTGTTATGCTAACTAATGTCTTGATCTTACTCTTGAAGACTATCCATTAAGGATGTTCAACTAAGGTAGGCAAAGGATCAGTCAAAACTGGAAAATGCCTAAATACTTCTATACATTCAGATATTTTTATGATTATTTTCGTTTTGTTCGAAATTTTAAATTTGTTTTTTAAGAATATTTCCATACTAATATCTCATCAAAATTCTGTGATATAGTATTTACAAATGAATGCAATAGATTAACCTATATATCATTTATTTAGATAGTAATAAGTAAAGAATTTATAAAGCGCTACTACCATCAACTGTAACAGCCGCAATAGTACTGAGGTTTTACGTATAAAATCAATCATCTTGTCATTTATCGTGCTGCAACTCGTTTGCAGTTCTAATTTTCTATTATTAAGTTTATTAATACAAGTCAAACTTTGTCATTTATTATTATTATTATTGTATACTTGTATGAATTGATGAAAAGATTTCCTATCGATTGAGAAAATAAAAAGAATACTTGGGAATTGAAGTGAACAATGATCTCTATTTTCAAAAATTCATATCATTAAACATTTAGATTGTTGGTTTTCTACATCCTATCTTCCGCTTTCCAATCGATAATTTCAATCTCAAAGTCATAGAATTTTATTTATCAGACTATTGATCAATCAATGTCTGAATGTGACAAAACTTTTAACGAACTTGTATCTTTTTAAAATAGTTTAAGAATTAAATATACGAAGTCAACTAATGAATAACTGAAATAAAAGTCCGATACTTAAATCAATTTTCTCATCTTTCAAATGTTCAATACTATTGTACACAAACCATAGTATACAGTTTATCCAATACGATGATAAAATGCAATATTTGAAATTTGAATGACAATAAAATAGTATTTATTTTTGAATACTATCAAAATATTGAAGAAAAAAAAAGAATTTATATGTTTTGAGTCAATTATTGACTGAAATGGACAAATAAATGCTCTATATCTTTTCGATTAATTACAAAATTTCTTGTAATTACTGTTCTCTCTATTGATTTTTCTGCAAATGATATCTTTATAAGGTCGAATCTGATGAAAGATGAATAATGAGTTAATCACTTTTACGATTTGTTTAATCTTTTTAACAAGCGAAAGTATATTTTTATTTTCTTCAATATAAAAAGGAATATGGATAGAGGAAAGAAAAAATACAATTTTTAATATTTCCATCATACCAAGTAGTATTTATCAAACTTTACCATCTTTATATTTGGTTCATACAACGTCTTTCATGCAATTTTCACATATACAAAAATAATTCTTGTGTTTTGTGTTTTCATCATTTGAAAGAACATCGCGATTGGATTTATTTTCGATGAAATCGTATGAATAATCAATTGATGATATTTAATATAGAACTTTGAGTCGATCATTACTTCAAAATATTCAATCACTGAGATACTTCTCAATTGTTTGTATAAACAAATAAATTACACATATGATTAATATTTCGTCTTTTTTAACATTGATTATTTGTCAAATAAAATTCAACGATTATTGAAGAATTAACATTTGAGTCTACATTTATTCAATCAAGATTCAAAATTGTTTAAACGATCTCAGTGAAAACATAGCTTTATGTATAATATATCTTCATCATCTAACTTCAAATGTTTTATTTTTACAACAAATTATTCAAGAAATAAGACTGATATTTTTGTATAGGTATAGATGCGACTTTATTCCGAATAATAAATGCTTAATATAGCAATAGATTTGTACTATTTCAACAATGAAAACTTTTTCATTGATATTAAAGACATAAATTTATCTATGATATTGTTTTCAATAATTAAAATTTTGTTTTGATAATCAAATATGCGTTGAGTCATATCAAATTTTAATCATTAGTAACTATCAGTCTTTTTTGCTCATTTCGATTAAATATAACATGGTTCAAATAGCAAGGCATTGTTATTCACTGAAGTATGATCAGTAGTTTATAATTCATTCGAATAACTCACGTCTTTTTTTCATACCATTAATGATGGAAAAATGAACGTTTTGCATATGTATAAACTACTTACTTGCCATGTCACTCGTTTTGATTCATGCATATTGACTGAGAAAATTTTTTTTTTCATTTTAATTTATTGAAATATATATTTTTTTTACTATGGAAGAATTTACATTCTTAACGAAGATTTTTCTTATTTTTTTCTAATAATTATTTCAATTTGTTATTGTTGATTTATTAGAAATGATTTAATTATCAAACGATATTTTATTGAGAATAGCAACAAACAATACGAATCGTGTAAAATGTGTTACTTCATTAATGATCAATACTAGAGATGTTCAGGACCAAGTTTTTTTTTGGTCTTGATCTAGGGAAAACTATTTAAAAATTTATTCGTATCACATCTAAGAAAAAAGTTCTTTAACACTCGTAACAACTTTTCTCTTACAGGCCACGCAAACTTTCAAATTTTGGTCTTGCACCTCTCAAATCAGTACACGTCTTAATTGCATCATGTTGTATTAAATGACACAAAATTTGTTCTTTTTCATAATGTCATTCGACAAACTCAAATATGACGAAAAAAATCCATTTCTTATCTTTTTCTCTATAGGATAAGAAAAAAAGGAAATCTTTGTTTTACACCGGAGTATATAAAACAATATACTTTTACTCTTTACAATAATATTTATTCAGTGTTAACAAAAAAAAACTTTGATTATTATTGACATGTCTCAATCATGTGCTGTTGAATCATGTGAATCTACATTAGGTATTTCTTGTCATTGTTGTGATAAAATGTTTTGTCCAGATCATTTAGATGAACATTATGAATCAATTAATAATCAGTTAAATCCTTTGGTTAATGAAATTAATACTCTTTATGATCAAATTATGAAAAAAACCAAAGAAAAATTAATTGGTAATTGTCTTGAGAAACTTGATACATGGCGTGATGAATGTTATCAAATGATAAATCATTTATATGAAAAAAAACGTCAAGAACTTGAACAACAATATATTCAAAAAACTGATAAACAACAAAAAAAAATAAATGAAATACAATTAAAAATAAATAAACTTATTCATGATCATGATACTACACAACAAGATATTGAATATTTTAAATCAACTATTCAAATAATAAAACATGAAATAAAACAAATTCATCAAATATATTTTAATATAAATATTCGTCCATTAGAATTATATGAAAATTTTATTTCAATTGAACAAATCAAACAAGATGAAATTGATTTTACAATGCTTTTATCTCCATATAAAACAATTGATTGTCCTGATGAATATAATATAATATGTACTACCAATAAGAATTTTCTATTAATACATCAAAATTCAGAATTACAATTATTTAATAAAGAATTAATAATGATTAAAAATATTTCATGGAAAAATCATCGAGTTTATGATATGTGTTGGTTATCAACATTAAATAAATTTATTTTACTTGATTTTAATAAACAAGTTTATCTTATTAACGAAAATTTAACATCGATTGAACAAATTCAAATAAATCCAGAACAAACCTGGCGATGTTGTACATGTTCTCATACATCTCTATATTTAATATCATCTCATCATCTTACAGATATTTTTCAATTTGATCTTCAATCATCTTTTCAATTAATTAAACGATGGAAAATTTCTTATTTATCTAAAGAACATGATATTATCATAGATATGATTTATAATAATGAAACACTTGCTTTATTAATTAAAAATCAAAAAACTCACATCGAACTTCGATCATCTATAACATTTGATCGAATTTGGTTATTACAAATTGATACCAAATATGATATTATTCATCCAATTACTTATTTCTGTTTACTTAATTCTAATGATTGGCTTTTACTAGATTATCATAATTCTCGTCTTATACATGTTAATAATAATGGAAAAATAAGATCAATTTCTATGTACAATCCATCACCTATCAAGGCAATTCTCTTCGATTCTAACATTCTTGTTATAAAAACTGATAAAACTTGGAATTTTCATGAAATATAATTTTAATGTCATTTATTTTTTCATTTTATATTCATGAAACTAATCGAGAAGTTCTCTAATTAATAAAATCGCTTTCAAATTATGACTATGTGCTTCATGTGGAGTCTAATGGGTTATCATTTCTGCTATTCTTTTTTACACCTTCATGGTAACTGTGGATAGAAAATGAATTTTGAAATACCATTTGCTTTTCTTTGACAGAACATGAAAGAAAAATAAGCAGACAGTGTCGTTGCGAGGCAAATAGAATTGAAGCAGCCCTAGTGAGTGTACTGAGTTAAGGGTAACCGAAAAAAGTACCCTACTTCTAGTATGTCAAAGGATCTGTTAGGTACTAAAGTACCTTATCGGGTATCCTGCTGGAAAGCGTCTAGTAAATGGGTACTTGAAGGTACTGATCAAGTACTCAACTGGATACTATTGTAGAGTATTTTTAGGTAATCTGTTGCCAAAATTTCAGTATGTTGATGATCGAACCTAACCTTTAACTTCTTTCATTTTTGTTTCTTTCAAAGCAATTTATGACATTTTTTCGATTTAATTTAATTTAATTTTTCCAATTCTGAAAACTCAGATAGATCAAATTTCGAGATCTGACCGAACTTGAGTTAGTCGGATCTCTATCAGATCACTTTAGGGTAGTCCTTTCTCAATTTACGATCGAGATCGACATGTTCTCGACTAGTAAATAGTCAAGAAATAATCTAGAAAAAATTAGTATGAAAAAATATTAATTCCTTATGTTTTGTCAAGTTGTTTATGTAAACCCGTGTGTGCAAAAGAAAACGGTGAATGAACAGTTGCTACATAGAACGCGACAAATCTAGAGTACCCCTGTAGACCTTTCCTCAGTAAAATTATAGGTGCAGGTACTCATACAAGTACTTGTTCAGTAAACACACAGCTATGGGTACCCAATGCAGTACCTACATCAATATAGTTACTGAGAATTTTCGAAGTACGCATGTCGAATACCTTCCTGAAGCTTTCTCAGTGTATGGGTATCCTTAGCTCAGTACATTCACTAGGGAAATCGTCTGAATATCCAGTTGAAACTATGTATAAGCCTTAGCGAGAATAGTTAATCATGAAAATATCAAGCCATTTGATT